CTGGAAGATGATCTGGAAGAATGAAGAACCATCAAAGATGGCATGCTTTGGCTGGGTTGCTACTAGAAATGCCTGTCTAACTCAAGATCTTCTTTAGAGGAGAGGATTTTTAATGTATAGCAGGTGTTATCTATGTGAGAGGGAAGAGAATCAACAAATCACATTCTGATTCACTGTGGTTTTGCCTGGCAGATCTGGGCTGTCGTGTTATGTTTATTTGGAGTGCACTGTGTGATGCCTAGAGTTGTGCAAAGTTTATTATCAAGCTGGCAAGCACAGAAGATTGCAGAAAGAAATTTGGAGGCAACACCTTTATGCATCTTATGTATGGGTGGCAAATGGGCTGTATTTGGGCTGGTCAAGATGGACTGACTCATTAAAATGGGTAATTGTCCAACCCTGCCCAAATTTGGGTCAAGATGGGCTAAACAATGGGTTGTAACCCAACTCACCCAAATTGACCCAAATCTTTGCAATATTCTCAACTTTTAAACAAGCATATATAAAAATTATCTTATTGTCACGACCCTAACCCCGAACCCGGTCGTGATGGCGCCTCTCGTGAAGACAAGGCCAGCCAATTAAACCCAATTCACTTTTTAAAGCAGTTAAACAATATAAAAGCAGTATAAACATGATTTAATGATAATAAGTAGCGGGAATACAACCCGACACAGCCCTAACCGGGGTGTCACAAGTCACGAGCATCTACTAGGGTATAAATACAACTGAAAGTCTGAAGTGTACAAATACAGACTAATGAAATGAAGAGAGAGAAAAGCAGTGCTGCGAACGCCGGCAGCTATCTTGCTAAACTCCGATGACTCTGCCTCCGATCAGCCAAAACCCGCTACCGGGTGTATAAATACCTGGATCTGGACATAAGGTGAAGGGAGCAAAGTGAGTACTCCAACTCAGTGAGTAATAATCATAACTAAAGCCTGAATGGTAAGAAATCACGTAAAACATATCAAGATGCTGTATAGAAGCAGTTCAAAAACCAGTAAGAAAGCAGTGAAACTATAAAAATCTCTTAAAACATCTTAGTTCAGTTTAAATTTCTTTGAAAATGATTTTTTCAACAGTTACGCAAATGAATGCAAAACAGTTAGTGCAGATAAACACAAAAATCCGCTCTTCGGGCACAAATACCATAGTGTAACAGGTAAATGACAGGTAAATATGAAAGATAAACACATAAAAGTTCGCCCCTGGGGCACAATGTCAACAACTCCGCCCCTCGGGCCATATCTCAGAGCAATATCAGCTCCTCGGGCAATCACATAGAACGGTACCAGCCCCTCGGGCAATCACATAGAACAATACCAGCCCCTCGGGCTATCACATAGAACAATATCAGCCCCTCGGGCTATATGTCACATCACAATGGGTACCCGCGTTCCCCCAAGCGTTCACTGGGGGTGTACAGACCCCAAGAGGGGCCCCTTATGGCCCAAGCGCAATATCAAGCCACCTCGTGGCATCATAACAGGCTCTCGGCCTCATATCAATATCAAGCCACCTCGTGACGCACAATCTTAGGCCCTCGGCCTCATTATTATAATCAGTATCTCACTGCTGCGGCGTGCAACCCGACCCAAAAGTATCCTTACAATACAGGCCCTCGACCTTACTCAGTCAAAAATCACATAAGCCACTCGGGCAACAGTAAAACATAACGCTCAGCCCAAAATATTATTTAAAATATCATTTCAAGTGTTAGAGCAGAGTAAACATGGCTGAGTTTTGAAAACAGTGGAAAATAACATGACTGAGTTCAAGTATAAAGTTAAAACAGTGAGGAAATATCAACAAAATCCCCGAAAGGTTCAAATAGCTGGCACTAGGCCCAAATATGGCTTTCAACCCAAATAATGATGATAGCAAATAGTTTTCAATCAAATACGCGGTAAAATCATCAATCGGGACGGACCAAGTCACAATCCCCAATAGTGCACGACCCCACGCTCGTCATCAAGCGTGTGCCTCACCTCAATATAGCACAACGATGTGCAATCTGGGGTTTCAAACCCTCAGAACATCATTTACAATCATTACTCACCTCGATCCGGGCCGAACTCTAGCCCGCAATGCCTCGCCCGCGCGAATCAACCTTCGGATGCTCCAAATCTAGCCACAATCAGTACATAATCATTAAAATATGCTAAGGGAGCGAAGTCCACTCGAAAATATCCAATTTAACATCAAAATCCCGAAATTGCTCAAACCCGGCCCCCCGGGCCCACGTTTCGGAATCTGACGAAACTCACAAAATCCGACAACCCATTCAACCACGAGTCCAACCATACCAAAATTTACTAAATTCCGATAACAATTCGGCCTCCAAATCTTATTTTCAAATCCCTAGGTCCAAATCCCCAATTTACACCTCAGAAACATGTAATCTAGTCGGATTATTCGATGATAATTCAATATTATGGAGTAGAAATGATCACAAGTGACTTACCTCAATATTTTCCATGATTTCTTGCTCAAAAATCGCCCCAAGCCGTGTTCTTTCACCAAAAAAAACGTCAAAATGAGCTAAAAAAACGTAATAGCTTTAATAAATCCGATTCTGGTCGCTAAAGGCTTAATTCCCGTCGCTAAAAGGTCCAATCTGGTCGCTAAAAGGGGCACACCAGATCTGATGCACCAGCAGTCTTTAATTTCACTAAAAAGACTCTAACTCCATCATACGAACTCGGAATTCGATGATTCTTGTTCCTATGAGTCACAAATAATGATACGAACATAGTCCTTCAATCGAAACTCAATTCGGAGCTCCTTTGATCAGTGCGATATCCATTTCACTCGTTAAACAATTAACTCATGATTCGCGTCAAAAACCCAATCGCGACTTGGTGAAATTAGACCAAACTTTCCAGATCACTCCTATAATTCTTTATCAAAATTCCGGAAGTCTCAAAATCAAATTTCGATATCTTGAACAAAAAATGGACCTTTGGATCATTACATGCTTATGCTCAAAACGCCAAAATCTTCCAAAACATATCCGAGCCTCATGGGACCCCGACCAAACATGCCAACACACCCCATAACATAATTCAAACTTGTTCCAACATTCGGAACGCTCAAAACAACATCAAAACATCAAAATCACCCTCGGATTCAAGCCTAAGAAATCCAAAACTTCCGAATTCTGAATTCGATCAAAAAGTCTATCAAACCTCGTCCGAATGACCTGAAATTTTGCACACACATCACAAAAAACACAACGGACCTACTCCAATTTCCGGAATTCCATTCCGACCCCGACATCATAATCTCACCTATCAATCGGAAAACGCTGAAATCTCAATTTCGCCAATTCAAGCCTAAACCTTCCACGGACTTCCAAAATACATTCCGATCACGCTCCTAAGTCCCAAATCACCTAACGGAGCTAACCAAACCATAAAAATTCCAATCCGAGATCAAATACAAAAAAGTCAAATCTTGGTCAAACCTTTCAAATTTAAGCTTTCAACTGAGACTGTTCTTCCAAATTCATCTTGATTAATCTGAAACCCAACATCAACGATTTAATAAGTCATAATACACCACACGGGGCAAGTCATGCCCGAGAACTGGCGAGCAAAGTGCAAAAGCTCAAAACGACCGGTCGGGTCGTTACACTTATGTTTGAGAATAAATGTCAATTCATGCCAAATGATTTCTTTCCTCAATTTGCATTTAGAATTTTATTTGATANACCTTACCTGCGACCCCCACCCCACCCTAAATAGAAATATTTATTTAGAGTACATTCTTTTAATATTGTAGATAGAGTGTTTTCTTTTTCATTTCAACAAAATGGATATCTTCTGTAGAAAAAATATTTTCTTTCATTTCAATGAAATAAGTACTTTATTTTCATGATGTAGAAATTTTTTTTTCTTTTTCACAAAATGAACACTTTCTTTTCATGTTGTAGAAAAAGTATTTTCTTTTGTTTCAATAAAAAGAGTACTTTCTTTTATGATGTAGAAAAAATATTTTCTTTTTTGCAAAATGAGTACTTTCTTTTCATGTTATAGAAAAAGTATTTTTTTTTATTTCAATAAAAAAAATATTTAAAAAAAGAAGTAACTCCTGTCTCGTGAGTTAAAAATTATATTCATATGTTCTTACTTCTTAAACATGTGTCAGATGTTTCTTACTAATAAGAAAGTAAAAAACAAAAACATATGATCACTGCAACTGTTTCTCAAATACCCAACAATATGTATTTGTGCAAAAGATACAAAAGAGTTCTACAAAAATCGGATGGAAGAAATTATTCACGGGTCAGGTTTGGGCTAGAAAAATAAATGGCTTTAGTTGGGTTGTGACCAAACTCAGCCCATCACTAATATATCTCATGCCCAACCCATTAAAACTTGGGCGGGTTGGACGGGTCAAATGGGTTTGGGCCGACTTTGACACCCCTAATCTTATGGAGTATATGGTGGGAAAGGAATAGGAGGTGTTTGATGGAGAGAGGAAACAAATAGCAGTCGTAAAGTATAATTATTTAGAATCTATTTCAATGGTGTAAGGCGAGGATAATAGAAGATTTATACGATGTTTTATACTTTTTGGATGCACCGAGATTAGTGTACTTAATTTCTATATGGTGATTTCTGTATTGTTGTAAATTTGTTTGTTTGCAGTACCATCTTGGTACTTGCCTTAATAATATTTACTTATCTTATCAATAAAAATAAAATAAAAAATAACTGCAACTTGTGGTATTTCTCATATAGTTTCAAAGTATCCAAATATCATATAAAAAATGAATTACTCTTCAGTCCGATTCAATAATGAAATGAAGAAGTTGACGCTTGATAAACTAAATGTAGAGTATCATGCAATATCTAATTTACTCAAAACCTTGTAATTTTGTGTCTGCCAGCATACATTTTGATGACAAATGATGTTTTTCTTTTACTGAATGAGGATAAGAAATATGCTCTCGTTTTTTATTCTTGATAATTTCCTAAGCTTTCATAGTTCAGTTTCTCAGAGGCAGAGAAGCATGTTTTGTACAACACAAAACTGCACGTTGTCAGGGCAAGTTGGTTGGAGGATTTCTTTAAAGAGGACCGGAAGTTACACGAGGATAGTTACAGCCTAAAGCCTAGCAATTTTCAAATGTCAATCTCTGAGAAGAGGTCAGTCATGTATTACTTATAGATCATGGTAAGGAGTTGGTGTATTTAATATTGGAGTTATTTCTCTTCATTTTTGTCTTCCATA